ACTGAATATTCGATCATAAATATGTTGCCTGACCGATGTGGGAAAGGAATTTCCAATTCTGAAATCTCTGTTAAGAATTAATACACACCTCAGCATCAAACTCATTCTATAGTCATCAGCTGATTATCCTTGCTGTATCAGTTTTCTGTTTCACCAGAATTCTTTCGGTCACAACAGATTCCAAACATCCTCCATGAATATAGGAACAAATCACAGCTGTGTATTCTAGAATATTCCTTTGTAATATATAAATAATCTTCCAGCTGAAGATGATGAATACACAAGAAATTCACTATTAAATATTCACAGCACTTTTAACTTGGTATCAGAGCAACAATGGCCAACGCCAACATCAATTCCAACTCTCCACCAACATCAGAATCAAGCACAATGGTGCCTCCAGTGCAGCGAAGCAACCATGTCTCACCATCTGGTGTCTACCTAACTCAGATGCTGTCTGTTAAGCTTGACAAGGATAATTTTCTGCTATGGAAAAACATGATCCTCCCAATTATACGAGGACACAATCTGGAAGGATATATTCTGGGGACAAAGGTGTGTCCTCCAGAATTTATTGGAACCCAAACCGCTGGAGATGCAGGAATAATAGTGGAGATGAAAAAGAATCCTGAATATGACCAATGGATGTCAACAGATCAGCTACTAATGGGATGGTTCTACTCATCAATGACCCCAAACATAGCTATGAGGGTCATGGGCAGCTGCAACTCCAACAAACTGTGGATTGCATTGGAAGAGAGCTATGGCATCCAAAACAAATCCAGGATAACATTTCTCACTGGGGAACTTCAAAAATCAAGGAAAGGAACCATGAGCGATCGATCAATACCTCAACAAAGTAAAACTTCTGGCAGATAACCTTGAAGTCGCTGGGAAAACTATCCCTCACTCAGATCTGGTCACTTAGGTGTCGGCTGGTTTGGATGAAGAATATACACCAATTGTTGTTCAAATCAATAGTAGAGATTACATCTCTTGGGGAGAACTTCAATCAACACTTATGACCTTTGAGAGTAGATTGGAACATCTCCATGCTGTTAAGAATGAGATAGCAGGGATCAATCTTGATCAAACATCAGTCAATTTTACTAAAAGATCAGGCTCCAGCTATTATCACTCTAGATCCTACAAGCAAGGAAATGGTGGAAGATTCTCAAACTTCAGTAATTTCAGAGGAGGAAGAAGAGGTAGAAGCAGAGGTGGAAACTTCAATGATGGTGACAGACCTATATGTCAAGTATGTGGCAAAATTGGACATAAGGCTAACATCTGCAACTTTAGATATGATGAGCGGTACACAGGAACACCACCAAATCAGAGAAATAACTATAGTCATTCACCAACAGCCTTTGTTGCATCTCCCAGTACTGTGAGTGATTCAGCTTGGTTTGCAGATACAGGAGCCAGCAACCATGTCATTGCTGAAAAGGGAAACATTGGTTCAATCAATGTGTACACTGGTAAGGACAAAATTATGGTTGGAAATGGAAATAAGTTACACATTTCACACATTGGTAACACTCACATCCCAACTTTAACTGATAAATCACTTGTGCTATATAAATTGTTACATGTTCCTGAGATCAGAAAAAATCTCATCAGTGTGTCACAATTAACAACTGATAATCAAGTTTACATGGAGTTTCACTCTAATTGCTATTTTGTTAAGGACAAGCAAACGAAGGAAGTGGTGCTGCAAGGGAAGCTTAAGGAAGGGTTGTATCAACTGGACTTCCCTCAGCAAAACACCAAGTATCACTCTCAAAAGTCAATTCTCTCAAATAAATTCTGTTGTGTTGTCTCCCCTGTTAGTCCTAGTCTAGAGTCCAATCAAGAGTCTTTAAATTCCCAAACCGATGTATGGCACAAGAGACTTGGACACCCATCTAGTCAAGTGGTATCTCAAGTACTCAAAATATGTAATCAAAAGGTGAAGAACAATGAAATCAAATTTTTCTGTGAGGCCTATCAATTTGGAAAATCTCTATCTATTACCATTCTCTCTATCTACTTCACATGCCAAAGCACCTTTAGAACTCATATACACAAACCTATGGGGACAAGCACTTATACAATCAACATCATGTTTTAGATATTACATAAGCTTTCTGGATGATTTTAGTAGGTTTACCCTGATATATCCTCTAAGACAAAAATCTGAAGCGCTAAACGTTTTCACCCAGGTCAGAAAATTAGTTGAAAACAAGTTTGGAAGCAAAATAAAAACTCTTCAATCTCACTGGGAAGAGTACAGAAACTTCACAAGCCTTTTAGCACAAACTGGAATTGAATTCAGACACCCTTGTCCCTACACATCAGCTCAAAATGGTAGGATAGAGAGAAAACACAGGCATATAACTGAGACAGGACTTACGCTATTAGCTCAAGCCAAACTACCTCTAAAATATTGGTGGGAATCTTTTCAAACTGCAACTTAACTCATAAACATGATGCCTACACCTACACTCAAAATGCAATCCCCATTCCAAGTTTTGTACAGAAAGGAACCTGATTACAAGGCACTAAATATTTTTGGATGCACATGTTATCCTTTTCTTAGACCATATCAAACACACAAATTTAGTTTTCACTCAACTAAATGTGTCTTTCTTGGCTATAGTGAGTCCCATAAAGGTTACAAATGTCTGAGCTCAACAGGAAAAATATACATCTCAAGACATGTTGTGTTCAATGAATTTGAGTTTCCTTTTGGGTCTTTGTTTCCTGCTCAAAGTCAACCTAATCCTGGTGTAACTGAAACAGTAGTGTCACACTTTCAATTTCCCTCTCAACTGAACAATTCAAATCCTACTTCAAGCCCTGCTGATACAACTCATTTTGAAGCAACTCATACTATGCATCACTTACTTCCCAGCTTAAGTGACAATCAGCTTGAAAGTATTGATAACAGTGAGGAGGAAAACAACAATCAAAGGTTAATCAGTGACACAAATGAGGAATGTGTGGAAATAGAAGTTGAACTACCTTAGAACAATCAAAGATCTGGATCAGATGGTGATGTTGATCACACCAGTAATCGACAACCGGCAAGCTATGAGCTAAAACAGAGACACAAGCAAAGAGCAGGTAACCAGATACAACATCCTATGATCACTAGGGCAAAGGCTGGAGTGTTCAAACCTAAAGCTTATTTAGGAATATCAGTTGAATGTGATTATGAACCATCAGATACCAAAAGTGCAACTGAGGCATTGATGAACAAAGACTGGAAGAAAGCTATGGAGGAAGAGTTCAATGCACTAATGAAAATCGGAACATGGAAACTTGTACCCCCATCACCAGCCTACAATATAGTGGGGAACAAGTGGGTTTTCAGAATCAAACACAACTCAGATGGATCAATTCAGAGGTTCAAGGCAAGGCTGGTGGCCAAAGGATTTCACCAAACTCCTGGAGTTGATTTCTATGAAACTTTCAGTCCAATTATTAAAGCATCGACCTTAAGGATCATTCTCACTTTAGCAGTCTCAAAGGGATGGAAAATTAGGCAAGTTGATATCAATAATGCCTTTCTAAATGGTGAACTCGAAGAGGTAGTATATATGAATCAACCGGGGGGATTCATAGATAAATCAAGACCACCTTATGTGTGTAAAATGGAAAAGGCACTCTACGGACTGAAACAGGCACCTAGAGCTTGGTATGACAAATTGAAAACCACACTAATAAGCTGGAAGTTCAAACAATCAATAGCTGATATACATCACTGTTTTATTTCAAGAATGAAAATCTGATTATTTTTGCACTCATCTATGTGGATGATATAGTGGTCACAGGAAATGACACAGGACTGCTGCAAAGATTCGTAGATGAATTGAACAAGAGATTTGCATTAAAGGATATGGCGCAACTGCATCACTTTCTTGGAATTGAAGTACAGTGGCATGAATCAGGACTTCATCTTACACAAACAAGGTATATTGCTGAGCTGCTTAAAAAATTTGAACTTCAAAATCTGAAACCTTGTCCTACTCCCATTCTTGCTGATAAAACCATGTCAAAGGCTGATGGAGAAATGATGAAGGACCCTTCAATTTATAGAAGTGCAGTAGGATGATTGCAATGCCTCACACACACCAAGCGTGACATAACTTTTGCTGTGAACAAGTTGAGTCAGTTCTTGCAATCTCCAACATCCACACATTGGCAGGCATTAAAAAGGGTATTAAGGTATCTGAAAGGAACTATAAATCAGGGGCTGTGGATACAAAGAAGTGACAGATTAGTGCTGAATGGATACTTCGATGCAGATTGGGCTTCTTGTCCAGATGATAGGAGATCAACAGAAGGCTATTGCATCTACTTGGGAGATAACCTAATAGCCTGGTCATCAAAGAAACAACATGTAGTTGCCAGATCAAGTACCGAGTCAGAATACAGAGCTCTTGCGTCAGCAGCCTCGAAAATTACTTGGATTCAATCACTGTTTAAAGAACTTGAACTACCACAAGTGTCGACTCCAGTTTTATGGTGTGATAACATGAGTGCTGGGGCCTTAGCTGCAAATCCCGTATACCATGCAAGAACAGAGCACATTGAGTTGGACATTCATTTCATCAGAGACAAAGTTCTTGGAAGAGAATTAGAAGTGAGATATGTGCCATCATCTGATCAAGTTGTAGACTTGCTGACTAAAGGTCTCTCACACTCAAGATTCTCTTCTTAAAGGACAAGCTTGGAGTTACATTGGTACCATCCAGCTTGAAGGGGGGTGTTAAGAATTAATATACACCTCAGCATCTAACTCATTCTACAGTCATCAGCTGATTATCCTTGCTATATCAGTTTTCTGTTTCACCAGAATTCTTTCGGTTACAACAGATTCCAAACATCCTCCATGAATATAGGAACAAATCACAGCTGTGTATTCTAGAATATTCCTTTGTAATATATAAATAATCTTCCAGCTGAAGCTGATGAATACACAAGAAATTCACTATTAAATATTCACAGTACTTTTAACTCTCACCAATTCTCCCTCCATATGGACTGAACTGCAATTCAGCACTACCTTCGCCTTCTTCAATAAGAAACTCCCATATGCGTTTCAGACCATGTCTTGAAATTGGTTGCCTCACATAATTGGATTTCCCTTTGGTATACGCACTTGAAAATACTGATTCGTCTATCAAAATATCAAGTGATTCTCTCAGCAGGTTGTAGAAATGCAATGTCGATTCTATCCAACTCATTTCGATGCAATCTTCTTTCACCACACGCAATTCTGGAAATATCTCTTGCATTTTTTGGAAGAGATCATCAACTGAGCCTAGATACAGAGATCTAAAATTTGCTCCGACTGTCCTCTTTCCAGTTATTGAAGAGTTAAAGCTCGTAAAGAAGAGCCTTAACATAAGATCATCCTCCACCTTATCAGCAATATATTGCCACTGATGCACTAGATGGGTTGCGTTTTGCTCTAACGTTCTTGTGACATTGAAAACAGTCCCAATTTCAGGAACCAGGACTAATTTCAACTTAAATGCAACCACAATCCCAAAGCTAGCACCTCTCCCTCCTCTAATGGCCCAAAAGAGATCTTCTCCCATGGATTCTCGGTCAAGAATTCGGCCCTTAGCATCAATCAGTTTGGCGTCGATAATGTTATCTATTGCAAGGCCGTGTTTACGTGACATCATGCCATATCCTCCGCCGCTGAATTGCCCTCCAATACCCACCGTAGGGCAAACGCCAGCCGGGAAAGCTAGAGTCCTGCTTTTGTTAGCAATTGTATAATAAAGTTCACCGAGTGCTGCACCTGTTTGAACCCATGCAGTTTTTTTATCAGTGTCAATGGATATTGATCTTAGGTTTCTCATATCCACCAAGACAAAAGGAGTTTCAGAAATGAATGAAAGTCCTTCAAAATCATGTCCACCACTTCGGACTTTTAGCTGAATCCCATGTTTCTCCGAGCAATAAATTGCTGCCTGAATTTGGGATTCATGCTCTGGTGTAACAATTACGATAGGTCTCTGGGTGGAGTTTGATGCCGGCCTTAGATTTCTTATTGAAGATTGGAGAATAGATGAATATGATGCATTTTTTGGTGTGTAAATTGAATCAAAATCTGAGTTGAAACTTTGAAACTGGAGGGTGAGGCATTCAAGGAAATCATTTTTCTTATGAGCCGAAGAAGCTCCCGAAATAGAAATGAATGCGAAAAGAAAAAGTGAGAGCATACCAGCTAGAATCTGCATACTTTGTTTTGTTTTTATATTTTCATTCTGATTGGTTGCATGTATTTATAGATGTTCATAGTCACTTTCCTAAATGACTTTGTGACGTCGGGAAGGATAGTGATTATCCTATTAGCTTCTTATAGCAGATGATTCGCAAGAAAAGAACGACAAAAAACGCCCAAAAATCAGAGAAAATACTCTGTATTCAATTCAATATTATTAATAATGTAGAATGATCAAAATTAACCCACAAGCTGGGTTAAATAGCTGCGAAATACGAGATTATGGGAAAATTACCAAAAGTAAAATATTAAGTAAAAGAAGTAAGTTGCCAAAAATATGGCTCAATTCGAGTTTTCTAACATATGGAAAAAAGGAAACGAAATATTACTATAAATATTAAAAAAAAACTTAAAATTGAATTTTGGAAATGAAAATAGTGGATTTTGGGCTCGAAATTGACATCCACTAAGCATAGCTAGGTGGCCATGATGTGCGCGCTGAAGAGACCTATCCAGATTGGGGTCATAATAGCGATTCTGATAACCGTAGCCAAAGTTATGGCCAAATTACCAAAGACGCGTCAAATTCCCCCAATTAAGGAAATAATGACAATTCACTTTCCATCTTTGCACCGATCTGCCATCTCATGGTATCTCAGAGCCATCATCATGCTATCTGACAAATCAACATCACTCGACTCGGATCCTCCTGCATCAGTCACCCCAGGTTGGAAAGAACTCGCCCTCGAGTTCACAGTAACTTCATCGGACTCCACAAAACAAGGGCTTAGGTGTTTTACATTGAAGACGTCAGAGGTCTTCAAATGGCTAGGGAGGCGCAACCTGTAAGCATTATCATTGGTCTTCTGCAACACTTCACAAGGTCCAATCTTCCGCTCCTTTAGCTTATTGTATTCCCCAGCTGGAAAACGATCACGAGTTAATACTGCCCAAACAAAATCACCAACATCAAACAACACCTAGCGTCGATGACTATCTGCCTGAACTTTGTACTTAGTATTACTATCCTGTATGGACAGCTTCACCTGCTCATGGATACCTCGAAGATGTTCAGCCATCTCATCAGCTTTGTTATTGAAGCGACCCACACGTGGAATTGGAGCCAAATCAAGTACTCCGGATGGGTTCAAACCATAGACAATTTCAAAAGGACTCAGTCCGGTAGTTCTATTCCTCGACCGGTTATAAGCAAACTTTGCTTAAGGTAATGCCAATCCCACTGCTTCGATTTAGTCCCGGCTAAGCTTCTCAAAAGATTTTCCAAACTTCGATTCACCACCTTAGTCTGACCATCTGTTTGGGGATGGTATGCGCTGCTAAAATTCAGTTTCGTTCCAAGTTTCTCCCACGAACTCCTCCAGAAATGACTCATAAACTTAGTGTCATGGTCAGAAGTAATTGACTGTGGAACACCATGTAAACGCACAATCTCTCTGAAATAAAGATGAGCAATCCGAGTAGCATCCATTGTCTTCCAACAAGCCACAAAATGAGCCATCTTTGAAAATCTGTCAACCACAACAAGAATGAAATCCATCGCTTGCTATGTACGAGGTAAGCCCAAGACAAAATCCATACTGACGTCAAACCAAGGAGCTTCATGTATGGGTAATGGTGTGTACAATCCAACATTAGTAAGAGCCCCTTTAGACTGCTAACATACATAACACCGCACCACATAATGCGCCACATCACTGTTCAACTTGGGCCAGTAATAATCAGAAGAGACCAATGCCAATGTCTTGTCTCGCCCAAAATTTCGTTCGTTATGAAGTTCACTAATAATCTGCTGCCTTAGTGAACAATCCGGAATGCATAACTGCAATCCACGAAACAGGTAACCCTTATGTAAAACAAAAATCATGTTGGTGATTATCAGTTACCTCCCGAATTATCTTCCCAAATGAAGGATCCGCAGCATACATATTGGGAAATGCCTCAAATCCGACAATCTTGGTGCTCATGGTGGTGAGGAGTAATGTACGACGGCTCAATGCATCTGCTACTCGATTCAAACTCCCTGCTTGATGCCTGAGTGTGAAAGTAAACTCTTGCAAGTACGCCACCCACTTTGCATGTCGCCTACTCAGCCTGTGCTGACCATTGATGTACTTCAAAGCCTCATGATCAGTAACAAGAATGAACTCCCTCTGTACCAGGTAATGGCACCAATGCTTCAGAGTCTGAACTATGGCATAGAACTCCAGGTCATAAGTGGAATAATTTTTCTTCGATCCTGATAGCTTCTCACTAAAAAAAGGCTACTGGACGTCCCTCCTGACTCAGAACACCACCAATACCAACTCCAGACGCATCACAGTTTACCTCAAACACCTTCTCAAAATTCGGAAGTGCCAAGATTGGGGCCTCCATCATCTTCTGCTTAACCAACTGAAAGCTAGCCTCTGCCTCCTCAGTCCACTGAAAATTACGCCCTTTTAGGCACTCTGTGATAGGAGCAATCAAGGTACTGAAGTTTCTGATGAATCGACGATAGAAGGATGCCAATCCATGGAAACTCCTGACATCGTGCAAAGTTTTTGGTTTCGGCCAATTCAAAGCTGCCTCAATTTTGGATTGATCTGCATGAACACCATCAGTAGACACAACAAAATCCAAAAAAGTTACAGAAGTTGTGAAGAAAGAACATTTATTCTGATTGATGAATAAGCACTCCGTCCTCATTACATCAAAGACAACACAACAATGATTAAAATGTGACTCCCATGTCAGACTATAAATAAGTATGTCATCAAAATAAACTACCACAAACTTCCCCATGAAAGGCTTAAAACCTGATGCATAAACCTCATAAAAGTGCTGGGTGTGCTGGATAGTCCAAAGGGCATGACCATCCACTCGTACAATCCATGATGTGTCTTGAACGAGGTCTTCCACTCATCTCCAGGCCTGATTCTGATCTAGTGGTATCCACTTTTAAGGTCAATTTTTGAGAAGACCTTAGAACTGGACAATTGATCCAACATGTCGTCTAGACGGGAAATTGAAAACCTGTACTTCACTGTAATCCTGTTAATTGCCCTGCTGTCAACACACATACGCCATGACCCATCTTTCTTCGGCACTAGTAGAGCAGGAACTGCACAAGGACTCATGCTCTCACGAATGTAGCCCCTTTCCAATAATTCTACCGCCTGTCGCTGTAACTCTTCAGCTTCCATGGGACTAAGGCGATATGCTGGTCGGTTTGGTAGACTCGACCCTGGAATCGATCGATCTGATGTTGAATGTCCCTCATAGGTGGTAGTCCTGGAGGAAGATCCTCCAGCATCAAGTTAGAAAACTCCATCAGTGGTTGCTACACTTCTGCTAGAAACTCTGAATCCACATTCGCTGTACTAGTTTCACGAGACATTAAAGCATAAACTATTTTTTCACGCCCAACCTCAACCAAGAACCTGGACATAGAAAGTAGATTGGGGTTATTAACTACCGGGGCAAGGATGCTTCCTTCCCTACGAGGCACCAAAACAATTCTCTTCCCTTTGATGCTAAGAGAATAAGTATTCTTCCGCCCATGATGGATAACACTGTGATCATACTGCCAAGGTCGTCCCAGCAAAACATGACACGCGTCCATTGATACCACATCACACCAACCATTATCAAAATATTTTTTTCCAATCGAGAAAGACACTAAGCATCGTTTTTCTACCGTTACCTCACTGCCTTTATTCAGCCAAGACAACTTGTATGGTTTAGGATGACGATCCATCTTCAGTTACAGTTTCTCGATAGCCTCAGATACTACATTCTCACAACTGCCACTATCAATTATCAGCTTACAGACTTTATCAGCAACTGTGTAGGTTGTGTGGAAAACGTTGGTCCTCAACCAATCAACCCCTGAGTCGCCCTTGGGAGTCAGCAGTCTCTTTCGAACGACCAGGCTCTCCTAACCATCTCCATATAGTACGTCCTCATCTTCACCCTCATCATACACAGGTTCCCCAACTTCCTCGAACTCTTCTATCATATCCTCCTCAATCAGAAGATTTTTATTCTTCTGACCAGTAGGCTTCCTGCAATCAGTCGCCCTATGCCCCTGTTCACCTCTGACTACTGGCCTCCTACTCTGCTGTTTCTCTACTGCAAGTGCTCGTTGATATGCCTCAGAAACTGTCCACAATGAATGAAGGCTGAGAACATCCTGCAAGGGCTGCCTTAATCCCCCCAAATACCGTGCTACCATTTGTTCCTCTGTCTCAGATAAATCATTTCGAGCCACCAACTGATAGAATTTTTCAGTATAATCATTGACTGATCTTGCGCCTTGCCTTAGTGAATGAAGCCTCTGAAACAAGGTTTGAGTATAGCCAAAAGGGAGGAAGTGCCCTTTCATCTTCTTCTTCATCTTCTCCCAGTTAGTAATTTTGGATTTTCCCTGTCGCTCCCGTGAACGCTTCAACTGTTCCCACCATGTCGATGCCCTGCCTTTGAGTTTGATGGCGACCAGTTTCACTTTGACACGATCTGGAACCTCCTTATATTCAAAAATCCACTCCACTTCATTCAGCCAATCAATAAACCTTCAGCCTGCAACTTACCAGAAAACTCGGGCAGATCCACTTTGAAACTGAGATCCACATGACAATCCTCCCATCCACGATGCTTCCGAACTCGAGCACAATGGTGATACGGGTTTTCGAAACTGGTATCGGAATCATGACCTTCCACATCATGATTACCGAACTCCTGCTCCGCTAAACGTTGGGTTAACTCCGCAACTTGTCTCTGTTAATCTTCAATCGTCACATCCTGAATATTACGATCACAGTGCAGGACTTCCTCAATCAGAACCTGTCCTCGACGACCACGACCACATCCACCAACCATTATTACTGATGGTATTTATCTCTCGAGAAGATGCTGACGCTCTGATACCAACTGACGCCGAGAAGGATAGTGATTATCCTATTGGCTTGTTGTAACAGATAATTCACAAGAAAAGAATGACAAAAAATGCCCAAAAAATCAGAGAAAATACTCTGTATTCAATTCAATATTATTAATAATGCAGAATGATCAAAATTAACCCACAAGCTGGGTTAAATAACTGCGAAATACGAAATTATGGAAAAATTACCAAAAATGGCAAAATCTCGAAATTATACCAAAATAAAATATTAAGTAAAAGAAATAAGTTGCCAAAAATTTGGCTCAATTCGAGTTTTCTATCATATGGAAAAAAAGGAAATGAAATATTACCATAAATAGTAAAAAATAACTTAAAATTGAATTTTGAAAAGAAAAACAGTGGATTTTGGGCTCGAAATTGATGTCCACCGAGCATAGCTAAGTGGCCACGACGTGTGCGCCGAAGAGAGCTTTCCGGATTGGGCTCATAATAGTGATTCTGATAACCGTAGCCTAAGTAATGGCCAAATTACCAAAGACGCGTCAAATTCCCCCAATTAAGGAAATAATGGCAATTCACTTTTCATCTTTGCGTCGATCCGCCATCTCATGGTATCTCAGCGCTATCATCATGCTATTTGACAAATCAGCATCACTCGACTCGGATCCTCCTGCATCACTTTGAGTTCATGTCGGAAGAAAATTCAAACTTCAATCGTGAGCTTTCACGTGGTAAGATTAATTAATGAACCACACAAAAAGAAATTTAAAAATGTTTCACAGCTTCCTCGAAGAAAATCTGGTCAAAATTTTTGTTTTTTTTTATGATTTTCTTTACACAAATTTTGGTGCTGAAAAACGTGTAAACAGTAAATTTGTTAAAAGAATTATTTGAGATACAAGTTTGTTAGATAATTATAAGATCAATTTTTGTATTCGTAGAGCATAATGCGTAAAGTAAATGAAGATTTTACTTAGCCCTCCAACACGTATCCCTAATGTGGTGATGCTTTAGGGTTCTAACAAGGGATGCAAGAAAATAATTTTTGTCATACATTTGAAGTAGCTGAAAAAATATATGAGGAATTGCCAAAAGAAATAAACGCAGATGGCAGCCCTCAACGTCCCCGCTAACCTTTCTATTGTTGCAAACTTCTTGTTCTGTAGTTAACCTATTCTTATATACTGATTTAGATGATTATCCCTCGACTGTCCCTCACTAAGTTATTAATTGCCCACATTATGCAGTATATAGTTGTTCATTGAAATTCCACCAAGCTTATGGAATATTTGACAAGTATTCGTTAAAAGTGAGTTTAGAGTATCATTTCCAACGGCTTTCCAACGGCTTCATCTCCTACCCGAATGAGCAGAATAAAAACTTCCTACTAATGATATGGTAAGAGAACCTAAATTATGTTTCTTTGAAATAGTCATAGATTCAAACAACTGTAATTAAGGTTTTCTTGCCATATCAATAGTATTTGATGAGTTGAGTGTTCTACATTATTAACTAATTACTATAGTAAATATAACTAAATGCATGTAAAGATGATTTTCAAGAAGTATATATGGAAATCCTGTTAAGAATCCGACTTCACTATTAGTCTCCCATTCTAGTTCTCTACATCTATCTTTTAATCTAAGTCAGCTATAGATTGACAAGTGGCAATCCTATTTAATTGAAAAAATTCCCTCGAGCAAAGCATATTTCTAAATACAACTCAAATATCCCTATCCCAAATTCGAATATATATAAATGCATTAAACTAAGAGATTACATTTTTTAAATTCATAAAGCATAAACAATTATCCTTGACATCTATAAGGCCTTATGTTGATTATCATGATGTGCTAAACTTATTTCTTACCTTTTGATAATGAAACAAGTCACTTAAATATCTAAATAGTGATAAAGCATTTTTTATATTCATTATATATGCAATAACAACCAATCAACACAATTCATACTTAAAAGAATAATTCTGAAAAAAAAAAGGGTTAATTACGGTTTACATCATCATCCCAACACTTAATGAATGTTGCCTAACATGCTAATTATACCCTAAAAAAAAAAAAACAAATAAATAATTGTTCAGAGTCAAGCAGCATTAAAAAATGCTTGAAAAACGTCAAGTGAACACTCAAGTGATTTTTGCAAAGACTAACCACTGATGTCTGCTCTATTGCTTTATTTATCAGGTGAAATCCTAGTTCGCGATTTTCAATCTTTTTATAACTCCAAACAACCTATAATTCTCTAATACTATAAATACCCAGTGGTAAATAATCAACGAAGAGAACATCCTATTGAAGAACACACAATCAGTCCATAATTCTCATGGATAAAGGGAGAAAAGGTTATAAAAATAAAAATAAAAAAAAAATGCTCATAGACAAAGGGAGAAACGGTTGTACAAAAATTAAAGTTGTCTTTCTTTAATATGTTCTATTAGCATAGGGTTTGACTTTTATTATTCGAGGAAAATATTCATTTACTAGCTAGTGATTTTCTTTTGTATGTCCTTTCAAAAAATTAAAGTTTTAAGTTTGCTCACAAGGCGTTAGTGACACATTTCGCACATGAATCTCTCATATTTTGTACTTCATATAAGTTTAAAATGAGTTGTGTGAGAAAATTTCATTATGCATAGATTATTATGGTATAAATGATCGAATGCCTCTTCGTGTTATCACATGAATTCTATTTTCAGGCAATAAAATGACAAAAAAGAGAAGACGAGATTACACCAGCTGGAATCTGATTGGTTGCATGTGTTTATGGATGTACATAGTGACTTTTGTAAATGACTGTTGAAATGAATTTAGAATTTATTACGTCTCGATTATATGAGAAGAAAATTCAAACTTTAATCGTGACCAACGCAAAAAGAAATTTACGAATGTTTCACTGCTTCCTAAAAGAAAATCTGGCCTAAATGTTGGCCTAAAAGATAAACATGCAAACAGTAAATTTTCAAGCTATTATTTGTGGTTCAAGTTTGTGAAATAATTAGCAAGTCAATATAATTTTTTTTTTTTTATTTTCGCAAAGCTTAACGTGTAGCACTTCAACTATAATGCCTAACATGGTGAGGAGGTTTGGTTCTATTGAGGGACACAAGAAAAAAAAATTTAGTCACGCATTTGAAGAATTGCCAAACGGAGATGACAGCCTTCAGAGTCCGCATTAACCTTTCTATAGTGGCAAATTCTTGAATTGTTGTTAACCATCATTTATACATTGATCCTCACAAAGTTATTCGTTGCTGACATTACGAAGTAAATGGTTGTTTATTGCTTCTGCGATTTCATGTTGTTTACCAAAAATATATTTGCAAAGATGAGATAAGGAATCGATTTCACCGCCACTTGAAATACTTCAATTGAGTGTTTATCTAATTCCAGATTTTTTCCTTGCCTTTTATATTCAATTCCAAACCTCAAATCTTCAAGCATTTTATGTTTATTGCATAGTAACTCTTACTTTTTTTTCTTTGCCCCCCCACCCCCCAAATTAGGCTAAAATGTGACCCAATTGCTTTCTATGAAGAGTTTGAAATCGAAAGGAATATAAAATCTTTCTACCGGAGTTAGAATGGTATACCAATTTGTTTATTGCTTCAGCGATTCTTGTTATTTTGATCGCGAAAGGACAACTGATTTCTTTGTTTACATTTTGATCCCCATTATCTGATTTTCATCCGATTCCAATCCTTATTAGTTTGCTGGTTTTACTTCGTGTTTTGAAATTGCATAAAAAAAAAAAAAACTCATGAAAGGCTTTAAAATTAAAATATAAAGACTAATCTTAACTTATCCCATATTACACTGAAGACAACCATCATAAACTCATAA